CCTTTTTGTGAACAGAAAGCCAATAATGAAAACATTGGTTTCCAGTATTCAATTTTCAAGATGAAAATCTATTTTTTACAGAAATTATGAGTAGCCTGAGTCATCTTAAATAGCACAATCTCTCAGAAATCATGTGCTGCTCAAGGAGAGTGAAGGTAGCAAAAGCAGAAACTTAAGGTTTCTTTTAAGCAAAGTAAAACTTTGTAGTACTAAAATGTGCCCCACCCTCTGATATAAATAAGCACATAATATCCTCCTGGTTGAGTTAGAACTTTCAAGTTCCACCCTTGATTATTTTCTTGCACATTGTCACATTGTCTTGCTATTGTCACACCTACACTGAAGCTAGAGATACGCACAGTCATTCCCTAGATACTGACAAGAAGTTTGAGCACATTTGATGGCCTGCAGTAATAGGGAAAGAAATTGGTAACAAAGTCTAGTTGCAAAAATTAATTTTCTTGACATTAAACACCCCATTTGTCATTGTGGCCTGACAGTGATTTCCCAGTAGATGAGAAAACTAGACCCTGTAAATTGTCAGCTGCATGGTGCTTGGTGAGACCAACAGGACAGGGAGGAAAACAAAAATCGAGGGAGTCCCTTGTTTAATGCTCCCTTCTCTGCTACAAAGGGACTTGAGCCCACATGTTCTGTTTTCCCTAACAGACAAGTTTTTCCACTGAAAAACAAGAAAAGTTAAATAGAATGAAAGAGGTGAGAGTGAAAAATCAAGAAAAGAAAAACTACTTTATTGCCTAGAGTCAGGCAGTTACTATAATAAGACTGTTTTTACTAATATAAAACTAATAGAAAAAATTAAACAGGGAGAAGGAACAAGAGGTTCCCAGAAATCTACCTCTTGCAGGACAAGGAACAACATTTCCCTTGTTTTTCCTTCTGACCAAATCCAGATGGACAATGTTGTAAGGATGGTGTGAGTAAGCCTGTGCTGCTGGCTCCCATGCAGCATTTTTCACACATTTTGGTCAATAGGGTGTCCGTAGTCATAAGCATTCAAATGACCTAAAAATAAAACAGAAGAAAATTTCTTTAGAAAGATTACAGTTATTGGAACATTGTCCGGACCCCAGTAAATCAATGTCACACATAACGTGTAACTAGGCCTCATTTCACTTTGACAGGCAGCTTTTTTATTTTTCACTTTGGGAGTTGGATTTATTTTCTTTTTTATGATCTTGGATGGTTTTTACTATTAACTGAGGAAAAACTTACAATAAAAGCATTATTCCTCTTCATTTCATTATGAAACTATAACTAATAACATTATGAAACATAACTCCTGATTCTTTGTGAACTCTCTCAGGAGCTATTCTTATGTCATGTGTTACACCAGAAAGCTCTGATTTAGATTCTTATGTGATTAAACAATACATTATATAAACAGAGCATTTAAAATATTAATAATGAAATTTAATTACTGGAATTAATTTTCATAAAAATCAGATTTTATTGCCATCTAATAAGGATTTTTGGCAGACAAAAATTTGTCATCATTCAGCAGTATAAAAGATCACATTTTCTTTCTTGAAAACACAGTTTTGAAAACAATGCTATAGAAATCACTGTCTTATCCAGGATAAAGCAACACACTACATCTAGGGAAAGAAATACCATCCATGTAGCAAAGAGAAATATGTTTAGCTGCCAGAGGTCAAATCAAAAGGAATAGGGTGGAAATACTCCCTGCTTACCAGCAGAAAGTAAGTGTAATTATTCCGTGCCTCATCTCATCTCATTGGAGGTAGTGAGCCCAATGACAATTCTTTGGCAGTAAGTGGAAATCCTTTCTTCCAAACAGAAAATTCAGAACAGATAAAAATGAAATTGCATGTATTTAACAAAAAAAGAAAAAAAAGAAAAAACGCAGGGAAATATTAACACTACTATTAAATCTTCACGTTTAACAGTAAGATAGTATTTCCTTGTGAAGTTACAAATGCAGATAAAGTTACTTCAGACTAAAAATATTAGCAGATTTATTCTCAAATTGTAACCTTGCCACAAATCCTGCACTGTGGTGGCCAGGCAGGTCAGTTGGTCTGACCCAGGATCCCACGACCTTCCTAGAGAGAGGTCTTCTAGGAGACAGCCTTTGGGGGGTCTCAGGCAATCCCTGGCCACCAGGTAACTTCAACAAGGGGCAGCCTGTAGCTGCAAATGCAGTGATTTCCAGCTCAGTGATTTCAGCTCAGGTTGCTAGGTTATACCAGGCTTACTCAGAGACAGAGAGACAGGAGCATCGTGTGGCGATTCCACAAAGGTAGCCGTTATTGTCCAGCAGCCCTGTAAAGGGGTGCCAGGGACAGCGGCTCCCTTCCAAACTGGGCAGAAGCTGGGATTTTTATGGGGGAAAGCAAGGGTGGTACTAAGGGGGAAAACTAGTGGGTTACAAATAATCAACACAGGCATCAAGGCATGGTGGGGTAGCTGGAGCCCTCACCATGACAAGGGAGGATGGTCGAATATAAGGGGTATCTCTCCAGGAGAGGGTTGAGATAAGCTTATCACAGCCCACTCAACAGACATCCCTCCAGGGAAAAGCCATGGCAAACTTGTCTGCCTCCACACTGCACCAGGAACTAAACTGTAACTCCACATCCTCTATATAGACACAGGCGCCACTGGAGTGGGACTGGTATGCACACATCCTGTGAGCACAGGACCACTGCCACATGCTGCCATTCAGGTACAGCCTTGTTCTGTAACAGCCACACAGGAGGTATGAAAAAGGTGATTTCAGCTGAAGTGAACTGTGAAATAAGCTTTACAAAAAGCAATGTCTGCTTCAGAAATGTTTGTTTTCAGAGTTTGTTTCAACATGTACACTGTTCATTATTGCCAATCACCACGTACCAATTACAGCCTAGACCAATACCCTGCGTATTTCTATGTACACCCTTTATATCTATAATAGACCTTGAAAAGAAGATATGCAGCAAGAGAGTTTTGTGCTGTGTTTGCAGCTGAAAACACAATCATCAAATATGTTCTCTATTCTTCAGTTCTGCTGTTGTTCTCCACAGGATTTCCTAAATACTTGGGACTGCATGACCTTTTTGCCTTTATATTAAATAGGAACGTACCCAGATACCACTTAGCAGACAATACCATTTCTATGGCTTTGATTGCTGATAGAACAAACTTTTTTTTTTTTTTTTTTTTTTTGAGTCTTTCCTGCATACTTTAGAAACATGACCTCCATGAAATATTTAGAAAGGAGCAAAAGAAACTGTGCTTTCAAATGGAGCAGGTCCTTTTGAAATGGAAGCTAACCTGGGATATGTTGCTCAGAAAATTACAGACAGTGGTACAATGCCCTACACCCAGAAAACTGGAAGTATTTGTTTAAATATTTTAAACATTTAATTGAACATTCAAATATTTTAAAAGCTTCTATAGAATTGCACCACTAAGAAGATGAAAAAAACAGGTTTTTTTTTGTTTTTTTGTTTTTTTTTTTTTTTTTTTCCTGATGGGAAAATAATAAAAAGGAAAGGTCAGGTATCAGAATGCAGTATAAAAACATTGGAAACAAATTTTAGGACCTTTAAATGGACAGCACATTTTTTCCCATCTCCCTTAAAGAGCGTGCCATAAAAAACACATTCTAAATTCCCCCCAGAATTAATTTCCACATGTCTGTGATATATGAGACAAGTCAAGATAGCATCATAATTGTGAGGCAGACAAACATTCTGTTCTCATAATGGAAAATTCCAATAGGCTGAGACTTTTTAATTAGATCACTGAATCTCTGCTGCTGTACCAAATTGCTTCTACCAGTGCACAACTGATTTAGTGACTACCCAGGCCCATCCTGCATTTGTTAAATCAAACATAAAGGAATTTTCAGGATTATTACTGAAATTTGATCTATTTAAGGAAAGTAATGGCATTTTATTTCTCCTCTTTTATAGAATATAGTTTTATTTTAGGTATTTTTAGGTAATTTAGGTTTATTTTTAGGTAATGAAATTGAAGTATGATTTTGGACACATTTATGTTACAGTGCTGCTGGCTGCTGTTTTTGCACACAGTGGGGGCAAGAGGTGCAGCTGCTCTATCCACGGAAGTGCTGCAGTGGTGATAACAAATGGGGAATTTTCTCCCACCCACAGCACAGAGTGTGTACATCAATGGCTGTCACACGCTCAAGGAAAGGTTATGCTCAGATGTTTCCTGTATAGTCCCTACCAAAACCAAATCTATCTAAGAAAGATAAAAATATTCTATTCTTATTTACTTGACTGATTGTTCCCTTGGCAGTTAAACAGGCAGAAACCACAAAACACTGGCTTATCACCCCAGCATTTGCTCAATTAGCATTGCAGACTATGAGCCAGAGTGACCTTTTCATCCCATTTCCTCATGTGAAACCTGAAGCACATTCTCAGAAGAGAAAAACAAATCCTTCAGCATCCTCGAGATGTAGGTTTTAAATTGCTGCAATGATTTCCTTCTAATGGGACTATTTCTGAGAAGATGGGGAAAAAGAGGAGTCAGCAAGATCCCACTTTACTTCCTCTAGATTTTTCTTCCAAGAAAGCTCAGGATGAGGAGGAGAGTAACTTATTATGGACTGAAGTAGGTTTTCATGAGGATGGTTATTTGGGGTGTTCTCATAACAGTCTTGGCTATATGTACTTTCAGATTTTATATGAAGCACTGTATTCCAGAAACTGAAGAAATCTGACTTAACATAAAGAAGCAAAGTAAAAATGTCTTTAACTCATACTTAAGGAAGAACAAGCTTTGTACACACATTTACTTTTCTACATTGCCATCTGTGATCAGAATGATGTATTACTGTCTACAGCCTAGTAAGGAAGACTTACTTTTGCTCTGTGGCCTGTTTTACACTTTGCACACCACTTGCAATGGTATTGTCCCAGTTTTGTTTTTCCTCAACTAGAAATAATGCAGCCCATTTTTAGCTTAGAAGATCTGGAAGTAAAAGATAAGTCATGACTCTGGTATTGTGCAGTTCCTGCCTTCATTATTCTGAACCTCCAGCCAGTGCAAGACACACACAAGGTCTCTTGTATGTTATCTTTCTGCATGTTCATGGAAGTAGGTAAGAAGAGAGGAATGCTATCTGTGCACCAGCTGAGCATCATCTTTCTTCAGACACTGGAGAAACTGTGCGTTAATTCTCCCTGTGGACAGTATTGAACAAAAAATTCCGTTATTATTGGTGAGTTTGATAATAAGAGCTGGTCAGAGATCAAAGCTGTACTCTGCTGGGTTCTGAACACATTTAATCTATGCCTTGCATATTTTATAAATCACAGATCAACAGAAGAGAGGGTGAGAACAAGAGGCAGCAGAAGTCAGTGAGGTGGGCAGTACCATGGGATGCGGCCTGCTATCAGTGCTCCTTCAGGCATCATCACTAAAGAAAATGTTTAAAGGGGGTCAAAACAATTTTATTCTGTTTTATAAATGGAAAAAGTTTTGGATGTTTAGCAATCAGGTGCACACTTACACCTGTCCTTTGCAGTCTCTGGATGTTTTGTATTTTGAGAGGCTGTTTCCAAAAGAGCACATCAACTGGAGACATCACTTCAGGCATTGCCTGAAGAAGCTGGTCAAGTGACCACCACCAGAGAGCTCTGTACACCAACATGCCAAATGAAAGGGCAGATGCAGGGTATGTAGATGGTTAGAAGGAAACTGGTTGTCTAAAACACTCTGAAAGTGACTGTGTTCCAAGAAAGAGAAGAAACTGCAAGCAGGGATCAGAAGAACAATTGGTTTCCTCAGTTTGATTGAAATTTACTGAATTACCTACAAGTGAATTAAAAACTCATGCAAGGCAGTATATAAAAGCAGTTTGGAATGATTTTGTTTCTCTGGATTTGT